TTTGGCAAACATTTTATTTTAAATTTATTTTATTCTAAAATGTATTTTAATTGAAACATTTATCTTCTATTTTTATGTGTTTATGTATTTTAGCCTTAGCTTTTATCTTATGTTCCTTAACTGGGATTCCTGTGCAGCACTTTGGTCAACCCCGAGTTGTTTTAAATGTGCTTTATAAATAAAGTTTGAGTTGAGTTGAAATATGGAAAAACATTATTACATTTTTTTCTTTATCTTTGGCATATGCTAGCAATTAACAAGGACATTTTATTTCAGATACCTACTTTTTTTTTTTACACAGTTACCATGAAATGATAACTGATAGGAAGGGTTAGTTGCAACTGTTGCTTTAATACTGTAAGAAAAATACTTAACAATACTTATTCAATAAATGTCCATCCATCATCTATACCCAGTTATCCTTAGGGTACCAGGTGCTTATCTCCAGAGGTCATTGTCTGAGATGCTGTATAATGGCACCACAGTTTAGCCTCCACTGCCAAATCCATTCCACTATATAAACACTATAGCTGAATCCTATTTCAACTTTTAACTTTCTCTTGTGAGGGGGCAAGGGCTGATTTTTTTTTTTTTTTGCAATTATTGTATCTCTATTTTCTACTCCTTACATTTTAAAAATAATCTTGTTAGTTTTTTTTTTATTTAAGAAAATTTTAGGTATGGCCTGTTGGTATAAAAAAAAAAAAACATAAAATAATTAGCTTCATCCAGACAATTAATTTCTTTCTGGTTGGACTCACTCCTGCACCAACTTGTTTTTCAAGATCATGCTAGGATACATTTGATGCTCTTATCAGTAGTTATAAAAAAGTATAAGGAAGTTATCGTCAAGAATCTTAGAAAAAATTTTATTTAATACAATTGCACAGTAACAAGTATAAGGTTTATATTTTATTGATGCATTACTTTATTTCATCCATCCATCGATTTTCTTACACGTTAATCCCAAGTGGGGTCGTGAGGGGTGTTGGCGCCTATCTCCAGCTGTCTACGGGCGAGAGGCAGGGTACACCCTCGACAGGTCGCCAGTCCATTGCAGCACAACACAGAGACAAACAGGACAAACAACCATTCACGCACACACTCACAATTAAGAAGAATTTAGAGAAGCCAATCAACCTAACAGTCATGTTTTTGGACTATGGGAGGAAGCCGTAGTACCCGGAGAGAACCCACGCATGCTCAGGGAGAACATGCAAACTCCATGCAGAAAGACCCCGGGCCCGGAATCGAACCCGGAACCTTCTTGCTGCAAGGCAGTGCTACCCAATGCTCATTACATTATTTATCAATTTAATTTAAGTAGTTTTTAAAATGGTAATTTTGCACTTTTACTTGAGTAAAAAGCTTAAGTTGATATTCTAACTCCTAAAAAGTGTTTAAATACAGGTGCTGGTCATAAAATTAGAATATCATGAAAAAGTAGATTGATTTCAGTAATTCCATTTAAAAAGTGAAACTTGTATATTGTATTCATACATTACATACAAACTCATATATTTCAGATGTTTATTTTGTTTAATTTTGATGATTACAAATGACAACAAATGAAAATCTCAAATTCATCATATCAGAAAATTAGAATATTGTGAAAAGGTTCAAAATTGATGGCCCCTGGTGCCACACTCTAATCAGCTAATTAACTCAAACCACCTGCAAAAGCCTTTAAATGGTCTTTCAGTCTAGTTCTATAGGCTACACAATCATGGGGAAGACTGCTGACTTGACAGTTGTCCAAAAGACGACCATCGACACCTTGCACAAGGAGGGCAAGACACAAAAGGTCATCGCTAAAGAGGCTGGCTGTTCACAGAGCTCAGTGTCCAAGCACATTAATAGAGAGGCGAAGGGAAGGAAAAGATGTGGTCGAAAAAAGTGTACAAGCAAGAGAGATAACCGCACCCTGGAGAGGATTGTGAAACAAAACCCATTCAAAAATGTGGGGGAGATTCACAAAGAGTGGACTGCAGCTGGAGTGAGTGCTTCAAGAACCACCACACACAGACGTATGAAAGACATGGGTTTCTGCTGTCGCATTCCTTGTGTCAAGCCACTCTTGAACCACAGACAGCGTCAGAAGCGTCTTGCCTGGGCTAAAGAGAAACAGGACTGGACTGCTGGTGAGTGGTCCAAAGTCATGTTCTCTGATGAAAGTAAATTTTGCATTTCCTTTGGAAATCAAGGTCCCAGAGTCTGGAGGAAAAGAAGAGAGGCACTTCATCCACGTTGCTTGAAGTCCAGTGTAAAGTTTCCACAGTCAGTGATGGTTTGGGGTGCCATGTCATCTGCTGGTGTTGGTCCATTGTGTTTTCTGAGGTCCAGGGTCAACGCAGCCACATACCAGGAAGTTTTAGAGCACTTCATGCTTCCTGCAGCTGACCAACTTTTTGGAGATGCAGATTTCATTTTCCAACAGGACTTGGCACCTGCACACAGTGCCAAAGCTACCAGTACCTGGTTGAAGGACCATGGTATCCCTGTTCTTAATTGGCCAGCAAACTCTCCTGACCTTAACCCCATAGAAAATCTATGGGGTATTGTGAAGAAGAAGATGCAATACACCAGACCCAACAATTCAGAAGAGCTAAAAGCCACTATTAGAGCAACCTGGGCTATCATAACACCTGAGCAGTGCCACAGACTGATCGACTCCATGCCACGCCGCATTGCTGCAGTAATACAGGCCAAAGGAGGCCCAACTAAATACTGAGTGCTGTACATGCTCATACTTTTCATGTTCATACTTTTCAGTTGGCCAACATTTCTATAAATCCTTTGTTTTTATTGGTCTTCAGTAATATTCTAATTTTCTGATATGATGAATTTGAGATTTTCATTTGTTGTCATTTGTAATCATCAAAATTAAACAAAATAAACATCTGAAATATATGAGTTTGTATGTAATGTATGAATATAATATACAAGTTTCACTTTTTAAATGGAATTACTGAAATCAATCTACTTTTTCATGATATTCTAATTTTATGACCAGCACCTGTATACTTCTATTTGAGTAATAAACATGAATACTCTTAATACTCTGTTGTATTCTAATGTTCTTTTTCTGAAAAACTGAAAAAAGGGAGGAAAATATTAGCCTGGGTGCCATTCCGAACTTAGTCCCGCCCACAACATTTGAGGTCGGGAAGTTCGGTCTGGCATTGCTCAACAGTAGCGTGAGTATGCTCGCACAATATCTCGCGGGCCAATCAAATTGTCAGGGCGGGCTTTATACGATGATGGACAGATGATCAACAGTACCGTAATCAACCACGTGACCAAAGCGGGCTTGGGTGACAACAACAATGGCTGCCGCTGGAGAGTTGAGGTGTGTAGATTCTGCTATTAGGTCTGTTCTAGAAGATATCAACAGCAAATTAATTTTAAAAGAGGAACAGAGAAACGCGATCAAGGCTCATCTTCTTATTCTAGGCGTGAAACTGCACGCTTTGATTTTTGTTGACAACAACTATGCGTCCCTTAACATACGTCACGCACTCCATTTCTCTTATTGGTTGTAGATATATCCAATTGAATGCAGAGGCATTTTTTTCCTGGTTCGTTCAAAACACGCCCCATAATCACAGCTCTATGGAGCAGTATCAGACTCATATTCTGATTAGAATTGAGTAGGACTACGTCAGGCTAGGAAAATATAGCGTTGAAAGCATAATGATGCAATTGGCTTCTTTACAAAAAATACAGTACAAATTATTCTTTAATGTATTCTGGTGTATTACCAAAGTGAAAGACTTTTCTTACCAAAGGTATTGATGTACCTGATAATATATAAAGTCAGACAAGTGTATTTGAAAATTTGTATACTTACTAAAAAGGTTTGCAATTTTAGAAAAAAGCTACAGGATTATACATTTCTTTAGTCAGTAATTTAAAACAGGATGAGAAATGTAAAACAGCTCAACAAATGCTAGTCGGTTGGTATATTTGATTATAATGCTGTTTAATACATATTCATATGGGTTTATTAGTTAAGCTTTGTTTACACAACACAAATAATCCAAAACTGATAAAGAAATGTCCCAATTCTCTGCAAAGTACTTAACCACTTCCTGAAGTAAGTCCCAAGGAAAAAGGAGGGAAGTTTTACTTCCAGGGATGGCTGTAGGAAAGTAGGTTAAGGCTGTTTCAAACTAATCCATCTTTTAATATTTTGGATTATGAGGATTAGTGGTAACTAAAATATAAACTTATCCTTTGTATTTCATTTAAAAAAATGTACATGATTACAGTTTTACAAATTACATTTTAAAACAAGAACCTAATGGTTTAATCATTTGCTATTATTTTCATCTATATTTATTTCCAGACAGCTCTGTCTATATTAATCCATCCACTCATTCACTTAAATGTCCCTTATTTGAAATTATTATCTCTTTAAGTAATTAATCTTGTACTCACTGCTCTGATTCAGTGATTTTATAGTTGCAAGGAATAGTTTAATATACTCTATAATGATTGCACTTCAGAGGCTCCTTTTATAATGGCAATGTTGTGGATTCAGCTTATTAAATGTGCAGTTGCAAGGAACTGATCAATGTATCCATTGTTACTTTAAAGCAATATTTTATGTCGTACCATATTTCAATCAGTTTTACTAATGGTTTGCATGCATATAACATTTCATGACCAGTTTTGTTGAATTTCACTTTCCACCCAAGATTTAAGTGGCAGAAATATTCAAAGTAAACTGTTTATTGTAAGAGAAGAGAAAGACCTGTGGATTTATTGCTTAACTCTGAAAAGCTCTTCTGTATAATCTTTAAAAATGTAAATATGAACAATCCGGGATTTTGCATCAAATTCTCCTTTTGACAATTTTTAAAAGTAATGGTATTCATCAACCCAGTGCCCACTGTCCCAACCTCAGCAGTTGCATAAAATGTCTAACAAAACCTCTGCAGCCCTTTTCCACTTAGTCTCCTAAGGTAACCTGCTTCAAATCCTGCAAGAGAGTGCTCTTCAATTTTAATATATATTTATTTATATACATGTGTTCAAAATGGATAATGTACATTAATAAACATATAAACTTAAATGTAAATGTACCAAAAGGCTAGTTTTCATCGGTATTCCCGGCGGGTGATCTAAATCGGCATCAGATCAATGTGCACAAACATCTTTTCTTTTCAGCAAGATGGGCTTATTAGCTCCACTTTACAGCTCATTTACATCATATTTACCTTGTAAATAGTTGATACCATAAGTTCCTCTGAGTACCACTAAAGGCACAAGTACCACCAGTAGTACCTGTGCCACAGTTCGAGAAACATGCTCTAAATAAACAAATATATCATCAGCATACAGGGTGATAACATAAACCTGATAGAAAACCATAGAAATTAATCATGTCCTACTGTTTTTTTTTGAATGATATATTTTACCTATTGTACATATTGTAACTTTGAATAAAAATCTGTTATAGTTCCACTAAAGTTTCAAGGCCAAAATATGTATGCCTCCCTTATATGTACATAACCAAATACACATAACATTTACATGGTTATATGCACATACTGTACCTGAGCATAACTTAATAATGTAGGCTCTTCTAATGAGAATCAAGGGTTGATCTGACAAGGAAAGCACAGTTTAAATGCAATTTGTAAACAAAATTAAGCTATGAATTGGCTAAGTTGTGTATGAGGGGCTCATGTGGATTTCACTCAGGCTGGCAGGATACTGCTACTCAACCCAATAGTGCATCAGTGCTGCAAACCCATGGTTTCTACTTTTTACTAAACTGCACATTGCATAGGCATAGGCTAGTATGAAGGTATTCTAAGCTTTATAAAGTTTTCTGATTTTTTTTTTTTGACTTAGCAGTCCCACTCTTAGATTTAGTCTAATAAGGTCAGAGAGAATATTGTTAAAAAAAACGTTTTTCTTTGAGCCAGCTGGCTACTACTTCTTCCATGCTTAAAAGAAAGACAAATTAGATGCTAAATGTATCATGTATCATGGTGTATAAACAAAAGCAGCTCCAGCTATTATCATGGCTAAGGTTGATTTTGAAATAACTGTTTACAAGCTATGAATGGGATGTTACTAGACAAGGCCTTGTTTTAACTTCATCTTTGAATTAAAGATGTTTAAGAGCCGCAAAAAGGCTAAAATCCTGCAAAAAAACAAACAAACCAAAAAACATAAACCCCTTAATGTGATTAACTGTAAATAAAAGTAATCCTTTTTCAGTTCAGATATTGAATTGACGTACAGTAAATCTGTGGTATCTGTGGTACTCAAAGTTATTAAACCAGAGCTCAAACCGACCTATACCTATGACGTAACCTGCAAACAACTCAATTTGGCAAAACATTTTCTGACCCATATAGCATTTAAATGCTGAACTAATGGGTTAAATTGATTAACGATAGCTCAGTACACCAAAACATCCTGAAAAATCTACTCCTTATAACTTAGAGAAAAATTTCACTAAATTTTGTCCAGACATTAGGGCAGGTGAGTGGCTTCAAAAGATGAGTTAAGGCATATAAATGTCCTGAAACAAAAGGAAAGCATAGTAAAGGGGGAAATAGCTCCTCTGTTCTTAGGCATGGAATCAAGATGTGCAGTCCAGCATCCATGCAGGGGCTCTGCAAACTGAGCTCTCCACCAAGAAGACCTTTATTTTAATCCGACCTGCGGTTTAGAGAATGTAAAAGTTTCTATTTTAAATAACAGAGGATGCAGCAATGGGTTAAAATGGCTTGCCCAGTCAGTGTCCTCTCAGGTCCGGCTTTAAGTCGGAGGTCCAGATGTTCCTGCGGCCGTCTGCTCAGGGCTGCTGGTTTCGCTCACCGCGTCGCTCTCGTCCTCTGGGCTGAGAGGAGCGCTCCTGTTCGCGTCACCGTGGGAAGATGCGTACAGTCTTTCCTCCTGCGTACTTTCTGTCCCCGCTGCCACGTACGTGAAAACGGCCCCTCTTTGCGCATAATTGCTGGGGGTCGTGGACATCCCGCTTGTCTGGTTGACTGCCTTATCTGTCAGCAGCACTGTCTGTGTAGAGTTCCACTCTGAGGCGCTGCTGTTTGGAGAAACAGCTGAGATGTTGGCGGTGGGGGTGACCCCTTCAGGCACAGGCTTTCCAGCAGAAGAGGATGCGCTGGTCGGTTTCCAGATCAGGCTGTAGTAAATAGCCAGGATGATGGCTGCTAAGGACACAGACAACACATATGCAAAAACAGTGGCAAGTCTCACCCACTTCTTGTTAGTCTTAGCAGCCATTTTAGCCTTTTTGTCCCCTGTGTAAGTGGCAGGTTTGCCTCTCTCCATGTTGGGCATGAAGTCCCGCTCTCTCATGTTGCCCCTGTTTTTCCCTCGATGCTCTACAACCCCCTCCGTCTTGAAGGTTTTCTCCTGATCCCCCAGTCCAATGAAAAGAAGCAGGATTTTTTACTTTTGGATTGCAGATGAATAGATTTCCCCCTTTATTTCATAGGATCTCGCTTCATATTAGGTGCCCGGTGCGGCGTTGCGTTTCATAACGCGCATCAAGCATCCGCGGGGTGACTGCGCGTTTCAGCATCAGGGACAAATCTGTTCCTCAGGGTAGATTTAGATACTACAAAGGAACATCTGGCTGGATGGGCCCACTGCGAATCCACATCATGCGAACTGATGTCATGCAATAAGGAACGACAGAGCGCGATTTTCCAGTCCACACACAGAGAAATGTCTGTCTCATCCAGCAAATGAAGAAGCTGGCTCAGCTAAAAATACAGTGGAGGGGGCGGGCGGTGGTTCTTAAAGAAGTAGCAGCTGTGCGGCACCCCCAAGAGGATGAGGAGGAAACAGACGTCCCATCATCCATCACCACCTTCACACCAGGACGGTTCATGGATGGAGCAGGATGTTGCAGCTGAGCGTTGGTCCAACAATTTTAGATGCGCGTCAAGAAGACCGATATATATATATTCATACCCTTGGAGAGGTTATGTAATGCAGGTCCAAGTGTTAAACCTACAACCAGAGGGCCCCGTGTCACACATTTGATTAATTGTATATTAATTATATGTATTCCTACATACATATAGCTATTTACACATACATATATACACATACGCATACAGCTTTGCAAATTCTTCTCATATATATAACATACTGTATATATATACATACTTCTATGTATATATATATATATATCATATATACTTTATATATATATATAGGTTAATAAGTGTTTATATATATATATATATATATATATGTTAGATATATGAGAAAAAGCTATATGTATGTATATATGCAGCTATATGTATGTATATATACAGCTATATATATATATATATATATATATATATATATATATATATATATATATATATATATATATATATATATATATATATATATATATATATATACGACGAATGGTGCTGGAATTTTATTTTGGGCCCAATTTGCTGTCAAAAAAAGTACAAGAGGCCATTTCTGCCACTTGTCAGTTTATGGTATGTGATATTGAATATTGTGATATTGATATTGACATTTAAAGTCACTATGAGATACTGAGTCTGACTTTCAAAATCATAATGATAAGATTTGATGTCATAATAATGTGATATAAAGTCCTGTTGTGATACAAAGTCATGATTGTAACTTTCAAAGTCATAGTGATGAGATTCGAAGTCATACTTATGAGATTCAAAAAGATCATTATGTCATAATTATGATATACAAAACTGACTTCATTATCATATATTCATAATTTTGGATACAAAGTCATAAGTTCGACTTTAAGATATAAAAAAAAATCTATGACTCTTATAATTATGACTTTGAAAGTTGAAATGATTCTAATTTATTTCAGATTTTTGTCTTTATATCTATTAATTATGACGTTAAATCTCATAACTAAGACATACCATGTGCCATTTTTTTCTTTCAAGTGGCTGAATTGGGCTTGCATAAGAACATCACCAGTGTTTTGTTTCTTTTTGATTTGATTGAGTCTGGGAAAGGGGGCCAAGTGAGGGGGCCAAGTTAAACTTTCTGACCTTGAAATAAATCATGGTTAATAAATTATTACTTGATGAGATAAATTTTTGTACAAATCACAGTCAAAGACACACACACACAAAAAACTAATTATAACTTCCTTTTAAGTCAGCAGTCCCTCGATGAAGGTTACAATTACCATGTAAACTTGCAGATTTCTTTACATCTTATACATAAAATGTAACAGTTTTTAAGTAGTTTTCTCATTCCTATTTCACAAATATACAAATATCTTTGAACTTTGGTCTTTTTTTGAATTTTAAACATGGAAGACCTCTGTTGGATTGGTTTAGTTTGCTTGTGTTTCTGGCCAGCTATTACCTTAGGCTAGCTTTTACCTTATCTATTATTGATAAAGAGTAAGTAGACTAGAAGATGGAGGAAAATGCATATGCATACCACTTAAATCAGAGTACTGCCTTGCCTTTTTTATATCCAGAAAATTTAATTTTTATTTAAAAAACAAAAGCAGTCTGATTTTAGGGAGCACATTTCAAGTGCATAATATATAATAATCTTATTCTAAGTTTATAAACTCTAATTCCACTGACAGAACATCCTGTTTGTCTGCTCAGATTAGAGCTAATAGTTATTTTCAGAAAACGTTACATATATTCAAGCCATGATGTCTATCAATAAACACAGAAATTGAAAATTCAACTTAATTTGAACACCCCAGTTTAACTGAATATCAGTTTATTGTAGTTATTTTAATAAATTGTAAACATTTGGCCTTATGTATGGCCTTATTTTGCTTTTAAATGTAATTTTTAACAGACAAAAGGTAACTTGTATACTGTAGTTATAAAAAAAAGACAGGGACATAGACCATTACAGTAAATCAATAATTGCATCTATGAGATTCTTTTAATTAATATTCTTTTAACTTAATCAAAGAGTTGCATTTTAAACCAGTCCTTGGCACCTGATAGAGGCCATGAAAGATGTAGCAGGCGGTTGTGCTGTGAACTGCAACTGGGTGGTGAAGGAGGTAAATAGGCTTGCTTAGTTTGTCACCTGTTAACCCTAACCTTGCAAAATAGGCAACGCTCTATTGAGCTGCTGCTACAAGTCTCATGTAGCAAAACTGCAAAAATCTAGATCCAAGGTCATTAACAGATAGAATCTAAACAGCAGTCCGAAAACAGGAATAGGTAGAAACAGACCGGAACAGGGGCAAAACAAATTCAGGAGTTTAGAGACATAAACAGATAAGAATCAGGTAATCAAAACACTACAGGTTACGCTAGAGAACTCTCAGACTCGGCTTAAATAATCTGGCACTGAAGGCTGGAAACAGGCAACTGGAATAGGAGCTGGAACAGGTGGATCAGATGAGGGCAGATGAAAAATGGGCGGAGCTAAGCAGATGGATGAAATAACTAATGTTCCAGTCATCAGCGCCAAGATCATGACAAAATAATGTTTATTTACCTCTTGGATTTAAATTGTGAATTGGTTTGAACGCATTCCAATTGGTATAAATTAGTTAAAAGTTAATTTGAACAAATTCGAAAGTCTTGAAGATAAACTTTAGTTCTCAAAGACAAATTCCATGCGGAACTGTAATATAATTGCATCATTCTGTTAATTATGGATCTCAACCATGTTTTTTCTTCTTCTTTGTACATAGTAGCCTAATTTAGTTGAGTTTGACTAGTTTAGTGAAGAGTTTTTAACTGAAATATGTTTGACTTGAAGCTGAATGATTTTTGTTTGCAAAGTCTTATATTTTAAATGGAAGTTGTTGTAAATGTATTCCATATATGTGCTGTTATCTGTTTGACAATTATTTGAGCTCCATTCACACTTTCATTTGCTGTTCTAACATGCAGTCATGTGGACATTTGTTCATTGAACAATATATGACAGTCCAAATATTATTTGATTAAACAAAATAGTTACCACCCCTGCTGGGGTGGGCAATAATTATAATTGCACAATACCCCTGAATACCTTCTGAGGAAGGTGTTACAGGCCTTTCCAATACCGAGGGAGTCGAAGGTACGCCCCAGGGCGTACTAGAGGGACTATGTCTCTCGGCTGGCCCTGGATTGCCTAAGACTTCTCCAAGAGAGCAGCTGGAGGATGTGTCTGAGGAGAGGAAAGTCTGGGAGTCTCTACTGAGACAGTTATCCCCTGCAACCTTTATCTGGATAGGCAGAAGAAGACAAACATGAGTACAAGGATTAACCAGTACCCCATGAGATGTTTAAAACTTGAGATAATGTTTTAGAATCTCTCCCCACCACTCATTTGTGGGGGTGAGCAGTTGGGGTTAGTGGGGCATGGTCAAGACAAGGGAAAGTGGCAGCTGCCCTAATTCGAACAATGGAGAGTCAGCACGGATACATTTTGTAAGAGGCCTTATGGAGCTGTGTGGGGAGTTTGAAGTGTGGCTAGAGGTGTTGAGGCCTTGTTCTGCTCTTGAGGCAGTAAGGCCGGGACGCTTTTAGTTCTAAAACTGAGGCTATGATGACTTAAACATGTCCTGTTTGTACCAATAAGAAATTCAGCTGCTATAACCGTCGCTCAACCCTAAGAGGGCAGCACCAACTCAGACAAATATTGCAGGATGAAACAGGTTTACATGAAAATGTTAAATATTGCTGAACTTACATTTTAATAACACCCTTAGGCCCAGTTTAGGGCCTTTACATTTAAGTGAAACAAAAAAACAGGTGAATTAGATTATGTTTTTCAAGAGACATAAAGTGTAGATTGCAGTAATTAGGCACATTTAAACGTTATGATAGGAACAACATCCTTAATATAATTTATGTACAAACACAAATAATACATGACTACCTATAAAGGGAGGTTTTAGGAAAGTATTTATATTTGTAGAGATTTATTTTATTGAAACACACTGAAAAGTAAGGTATAAAAACAGGACTAAGTTACCACAGCCATGTTACCCCTGAACTTAATTACTATACAGGTTTCAACAGTTTGATATACCTCTGTCTCTCTTTTGCAACAGTTTAACTTAAAATGACAATTTCTTAAATAAGTCCTTTAAATCATAGTAAATGCAAAGTTGTTGCAGCTGTGTAGCTCATACTACCGGTACTTTCATCCTAAGGTTTTAACGTTAAGGTAATATGGAGAAAACATTTGGGGTCAGTCGTTTTTAATTTTTCTTCAAGAGGGGCAGGAAGAACGTGTGCATTTGGTCTCATTAGGTGCACCTTGAATAAACTGACCTGACAGTGGTTCCCTTAATCTCCCTCCTGTGGCTCCTGCTCTGACGCACTGTTTTCACTAGCTAGTGCTCAGTCAGAAACTTCATTTGAATGGTATCCAAATGACCTTTGTTGAAACAGAAGCTGGCCTCCAGTGTCCAGGGCCCAGTTGTAAGGGAGGGAAATTACGCTGGACTGATG